GCGCCATTTGGGACGCAGGCCCTTGGGAAACTCCTCCGCGTTGCCGGCCGACTGACGGTGGGAGGTTCCGACGGAGTGAAACATGCACGTGCAGGGTGGATCGAGCAAAAGCTGGCCTGAAGGAGAAGATGATTTGCAGATGACGCAAATCCTGATCCACCACTTCTGATGTAATCATCAAAATTGATGTGCCTATGGGGTACCCAGGCTTCTGGAGGTGGCGCCATCTCCCGTTTTGTTGGCAAAAAGAGGGTTCTGAAAACGATGTAGCCATATGAAAACCTTGGATTCTGAAACAGGCTGAGAGAAAGGTGACGTATTGTTCAACCCTCTTGGTTCTCTTTGGAATTGCAATGTTGAAGGGGCAATCCTTGATAATTCAAGAACCCTACATTGGAGACAAGAAAGCAAAAGCACTGGCCACTTGATTACAATGTTGAAGCAGGTCACCCAAGCTCCAGCGCGCCTGTGAAACCAAGAGCGTATTGAGCCTGGTCACCCGAACTCCAGCATGCATGTGGAGCCAAGATCATTCAACCAGGCCACCGTGTGAAGCGAAGATCATTGAACCAGGTCACCATGTGAAGCCAAGATCATTGAACCAGGTCACCCAAACTCCAGCATGCAAGGGAAGACTATTGAGCCAAAACGGCCAGCCCCTTTTCATGAACTTGCGTGGCGCACTTGGGCCCTGTGTGGGGGAAGTTGTTCATCAGTGTTGGTCTCCAGCGCCCAACACCACACCATTGCTACCATCACCACCACACCGCGATCAACTTTTTGACTTTCCCAAAGTGAGACGTCAGTGGCCTCAGCCATGGCGGTGGTGGCCATGGAGAGATCCAGGAGGGGGAGATGCAGGATGGTCATCCTGAGGCCCTTGAAGCTGAAGGTCAGGATACCGAAAACAATAACTGATGACCCCAAGTATGACGTGTTTTGTTACGAGCCTGTAGCTCCTCCGACACGACACCGGGTCCATGACCCGGTCGAAGTTGATTGATGACTGTTGGAAATCATCTTGAATGTGAATGACCCTGGAGGCTTAGGTTACTTTGATGGGGTGGTTGGGATTAGTTCTGAACCGCGTGACTGACTTAATGCATAGGTTGGGTGGATGGACACCCAGCTCCTCCCTCATCCCCGGCCGAGATGTACTGATTGGCCCCTGTGACCCGGTTCGGATTGGCTGGCATTGGTCATGGATCATGTGAGTGGACAGTGAAATGTGTAGAGGAAAACGATCAAATGATTACACAAGGAACCAGACAGTATCTCTTCTCACTGCGTGGTTTTTCCTTTATAATTATATGTGTGTTCTTTGTGGTTGTTGGTTTTGTCTTTTGTTCGTCTCCCCAACGCACTGACACTTGATTAGGGTCAGCGACCTGGTTTGGATTGGTAAGGGTTGGTCCTGGAGCTTGTAGAAGTGGAAAACTTGAATTTTCATCAATGGCCATGTTCCAGTTCCATGATTACTCCTGAGTGTGTATCTTCCCAAAAGTCATCCGAGTGGGCGCATGGCCCGGTGCAACACTTAAATGATGATGATGATGATGATGATGATGAGGTCGCGGTGGTGGTAGCCGGATACACAAAGCAGGGCATCCAAACCCAAAAGTTCACACTTGGCGCACCGGCCATCCCTGCACCAAAACATACCCACCCCCAAAGAACAAAGTACGCAGCCACTCACGCAGCACAGCCAAGCAAAGCGCCAAAAAGACGTAAAAAGGAAGAACCAGGAGTATCACCAAGACCGAGCCATCACCCTAGACTGGCATATAGCCGTCTGATAGACGTCCCACTGGGAGTCTGGGGAAGAGATGGCAGCCTGGCCGTCACTCCCTCGGGTGTCCCTGAACCGCGAGACGAACAAAGCCCGGCGTCAACGGTCACCGTACTTGCATCCCTGCTTACACATTCAGCTATCGTTCCCCCTGTCTTGCCGTTCCGTCTTGTACCTTGGCTGCGCCTACCAAGCCCAACCAGGCCCCCTTCAGATCAGCCACGAGTCACCACAGGGATGACACCGTAGGACCCAGAAGCAGGAAAACCAACCAGCCAAAACAGACCAAAGCTCCCCAACAACGTCAATCACGTTGTTGTTTCCTCCAAACCGGTGGCAAAGGGAAGAGCTGACCCTAGGGGACCGCTCAACGTCCCTTGAGCCTAAACCGGCATGGAGTCGCGTGCTCCCGTTCTCCCCAAAAAACCTGAGAAGTGAACTCGAAGAAACACCTGGTACAAACTGGAGAAAACGCCGGACCCGAAGGACCGGATTGGGTTCGCCCTTGGCACTACAAACCCAGAGAAAGCCAACCCGGAACAAATGGAACCCGACTACTTGCAGCATTGATTATATAGATGGAGTTCGGCCAAGCTTACTCCAATTCTCCCCAGAGAGGGCTTGGTTGGGGTTAGTCAGCGGTCATTGTCCCAAGTTTTTGTCCTCCCGCACCACCGGCTGATCGATTGGTTGGCTCAGTGACCTGGTTGGGGTTGCGCCCTGGAAAAAGCCATGAACGTGGAAAACAAGATTGGTTCCACTTCCATCACGATGCCCTATATGTTTTGGTTGGGCGTGGTATCGAAATGGAAAGCTACACCTGATTTTCCACTTCATGACTTGCAGGGGTCATCACCACACCACCAACCGATCGATTGGTTGGGTCACTGACTTGGTTGGGGTGCCAAAGAATGCATTCTCCCTGGTACCAAGAACCAAGATTTGCACCAGGACTCTTGGGAAGAATGTTGGTTCCTGACTGTTCTTTTCATTTCTTCCTTTGTCTCTTTCCCTCCTTCTTGCTCTTCTTCATTTGAAGGTCAGCCCCAAGAACCAGGAACCAAGATTACTCCCAAGAGTTCTGGTGCAAATGTTGGTTCTTGGTTTTGGTTCGAGGGAGAATGCATTCTTCCCATCAAGAATGCATTCTCCTCACCAAGCTCGACACATTCAAATGACCAACGTTGCTGAAAAGATTTGTGTATATATATATACATCGTCCCCCCACTTCTGGGCCCGAAAGGACAACTTCCAAAGTGCCGAAAATCTAGTAAAACATTGCAGATACCATCAAACTCATCAAGCTGCAAAAAGTTTTGTGGGGGTACTGAATATGTATATATACAGATATTGATATAAATGTTAGATAATTACACCTACACCAAACCTGTATAGGGGTGACGCATGCATGAACCCGTTGATTGAATCCACGGAGCGTCCCTTCGACCAAGCACTCTTGCATTGTGCATGCGTGGATCCCTTCTCAAGCTGCATGCATGTAGGTTAGCTGAGAATGAGTTCTCGCAAGTACTATGGTTTTGTCTCAGAGGACTTTAGCTTTTTTGGGAGGATCGCGAATCGCGAGTCAGACCCTTGGTCATGCAAAGCTACCATTGATGCTTCACTGGCTCCCATCAAAAGCTGTTCCCAGACTGCACTTGGCCTAGTTTTGACCCTGAAGTGCCACCCTTGCGAGGGCATGAAGCTGACGCTGCTCAAGCGTTTCTACTTGGGTCTGGCTGGAAAACATCAGCTTGACCAATTTGATTTGGCCGAATGGGAGAGTCAATGAAAACAACATGAGCTGGAGGGCTCGGGAGGATGGGCTGGAAGGGCGGGATTCGAAACCGGTTCTGAGGATATGTTTGGACAGACCCCTTTCCTCAAGATAGGCCCCCATCGAAAGTCTATTCTCATGATATATCCAGGAGCCCTAGGGAACAAACACAGAGTTCCAGCTAAAAAGATCAGTAGTTCCTAACGGTCCTAACTGCTGCAGGATTGGCTGTTTGTGACATACTGCGACGTGGATAAATGGAAACAAAAAAGACACATATGATCAACCATTTTAAGACATGGTCGAACGCCAGCTTGGACGCCCTGTGCCGCCCCCCCACCCGACAGCATCTCCTGGCCAGGCTTAGCAGGCAGCTGCTCCAGGGTAAAGCGTTCGGCCACCTGTGGCCTGCGGACACGCAGGATGGTCTCCAAAGACAGGGTTAATCAAACACTCCGTTTGGATGCACGCACAGGGTTAGTCAACGCGCCCACAAATCGCCTCTTGTCAACAGGGGTGACGGATGCGGGTGAGTAAGTGAGGTGAAAGTGGCATGAGGCCGGATGAACCCCATTTGGATTATAAAGCCTCTTCGGGGGTTGCTATTAATCAAGAATCAAGGTTGTATCAAGAGGATGCCTCGGTACTTCGGGACTGGACGTGTTCGAAGGACCAACTGCGAGGCCGGGGAGGCTGCGCACCTGATCCCCAACGGCCGCGTCTTCCGTGGCTTCGCTGGTGGATCCTCCTCGAAGCGGCCCAACAAGAAGGTGCCGGTGGTGTCCTCGGCGCTGCAGCTGGCTGCGCTGTCTGGAGGAGCGTTCAAGGAATATAATAGAGCACAGCACATCCATTATGTTGAAAAAGGTCCTAGACCTTCCTCCAAAACAAGTCTCAGAATGCATGGGGAAGTTTTATATGAGTTTTATGAGACATTATAACATATTACAACTGCCAGTAGGAATATAAGATAACTATACAACTTGCTGAACGGTGATGTGTGTGTGTGTGTTGGACTGCAGGAACCACCTGTACTGTAGAACATCAGTGTTGGCTGCTCGATGTTGATTGTGTTCGGAGAGAACTCCTGATTCAGTGCATCGCATGGGCAATTCATTGGACAATCTCACAACCCCACGTTTGCGCTCTCCCGGTGTTTGTAGCAAACACTCTGCCAGCATCTCATATATGTTCAGCACAAGAATACAATACATACTGACTGGAAATAATGACAAACAAGAAAAGGGTTGTCCGTTACGTGCCCTGTGAGTGACGAACACACACAATGAATATTAATAACTGTAGACGCACTAGCAAGAGCGTCTGCCAGCGCGCCGTTTTCACCTAAGGCGCAGCACGAAATGGCTTCAGGCCTTGATCCAAGCGAACATGAACAACCATGTTCCTCCGCCTGCCCAACACCGAAGAGCAAACTCAACTTTCACAGTTCATCCCCTTCTCTTGTGGCATTTGAGGGGTTGGGCAACGGCTGAACACGGTCACGAGCAAAGCAACAGGCTCCTCAAGCATCGATCGAGGATTCTGGAGCTCTCGCATGTCGACAGAGTCTTCCAACTGTCGCCAAATCACACTATGTTCGCTGTCAAAGCGGGCAAAAGTGGAACGAAACGCATGCGTCGTTCTTGAACAGCGTGGCTCTGGGGTCCTGTACGAACGAGCCTGACGGCACACGTTGACGGCCAAATCTTCATTCAAAATATGCCAACCTGAGCTCTGTGAGAGCTTCATCACATGGCCAAACAACGGGGAGGAGCTTTCAAAAGGGACTCCCATGTCACTTCTCACCACCCTTCCGGTCTGTTGTGAGTTAGCCATGGGCTTCTTACTTTTGGACGTCTGTTTGACGTACTGGGAGGAAAACTGTACACACCACTTGCAATCTCTCAGGATCTTGTGAAGGTGCTGAGGGTCAAGCTCCTTAGTGCCGCAGTCTACGATCATGTTCTCTGTTGCTGTCCAACGCATTCTCGTGTTGCATCGAGCCAGCATTGAACGAATCCAGCTTATGGTGAAAGCTAAACTCTTTTGGCTGCCATAGCTCGGCGTTTCCGAGCAGGATTTGTCGAATGCATCCTTGGCGTCGGTGACAACCAACAGGGGCACGGAATCCGTGCTAAGGTCAAAGGGCTTCCGGTCGAGTGGATGACCGAAAGCTTCGCCAAGCACGCCGCGGCAATATTGCCCGGCATCCAGCGCCTCCTCAATGCCCAACAACTCTGCGGCAAATGTCGATCTGCATACCCGGTTCAGTCTATGAGACCGGGCGTCCAACACTGTGAACTTGCCTTCTCTGCCGCTCATGAGGTTTTCGTCAGCAATGAGGACAAAGTAGGCGGCTTGACTATAGACCTTCTTGATGGCCGCTTCGTGGGAACTACCACTTTTCGTCACATTGCCAAGCGAGGCATCAGAAACAACGAGGATCCCCGCATTCTTCATGTCCAAGGGCTTGAAGTGCAGCGCGAAGTCTGCGTGGAGCTTTGCCTTTCTAACTAAGGCATTAGCGCGGATCAACGTCTCGATGGTCTGGGAAGCACCCTGCAATGTCGACAACTGAAATTGCAAGTCAAAGCGAACTTGCGCTACCAGCCACTGCAAACTCCCGAGGAGAGCTCTGAGCTGGCGTTGTTCCCCAGGCATCAAAGTGGCCTCTGGATTCTTCTTTCGAAGTGGGTTGATGCGCACCTGCTGCAGATTGCTATGGTACTCTTCCATGGAAACTTTCACCGAAAAATCTTCAGCTTGCTCAATCTTCTTTCCACAATAGGTTATGGTTCCGGTGGAGGTGGAACCAAACCCAAGTTCGGCACCCAGCAACTGCAAGGTGTGGTGCGCACGAGGGCCTCCGGCCAGTAGCAAGTCATCCACGTGGGAGATGAGGATGCCTTCCAATTTGGAGCCTGCCCACAGGAACCACATGGCCGAATCCAGAGCTGAAAGTCGCCAACCATGGTGTTGTACTGACTTGCATAACCTCTTATACCAACGACGAGGGCTGTCAGCTAAGCCAAATACTCCCTTTTTCACACGGCATAAGCCTGCTTCAGAGAATGGTAGGCGTGGCTCATCAGGTGCTCGGGTCTTCACGTTGGCGAGGTAGAGGATGCGTTCATTGGGGCCAAACTCTTCACCTTTCATGAATGCCGACTTGATGTCAGCACTTGCCAGCTTCCACTTCATACTGGCGGCAAAGGTCAGCAAAAGATGCTGCGAAGTTCTCGACGCTGTTGGAGCATCACAACGAAGGCCATATGCACTAATGTCTTGGTATCCGGGGACGACCAGCCTGGCGTTGGCCTTGAGTGGAAGGTCCCGGTCTGCCGTCCTCAGTCCGTCATTCTTGTCCACATAGACGAAGCGAGGAACCAAGATGCGGTGGCTTTCACCTTCTGTCTTCAACTTCTGCCTAATGCGGGCAGCTTCGGCATCTGGAAGAGGTTCGATGGCCTCATTTTCAACCCATACGGACCATCCTTTGGCTGCTGCTTCACGGAACTCCTTTTTCTCAAAGTCCGACATGTGACTCCATACATGCTCCTTACGAGCAGTGAGCACTGCAAGCACTTCCTGAGCAGCATCGTCATTGCCAAGGGGCCAAAGTTGCTTCAGCATTTGCCGTCGTCTGAATTCTGTCCTCGAGGGGAGAGGCCAATTGCCACGCCATGTCCCATGGTCTCGGACTCTGGCTTCCAAGGGATTCAGACGATCCTGTTCCGCCATGATCTGGATCTGACGGAGCGGATGCACATTGGCATATGCTTCCATTTCCATCACTTCATGAGTCACTCTCAGGGCTTCTGAAGCTTCATCAGGAACTTCATCTGGAGGTTGAGCCGGAGTTGGAGCAACAGGGTCTGGTTGAAGAGCTTCTTCACGCAAGCGCTCAGCATCCAGTTCAGCAGGCCTCTTGGAAGCCTGTGACTCGCCGCTAGCACTTGGGGCGGCACTGGAAACGCTCTGCCGTCTCTGTTCAAAGGCAGCTCGTACAGCTTCAGGAAATGGAGATGTACCTAAGTCTGGCAAAGAAGAAGTATGCCGAGACCATCCTCTTGAGATAGGACCACCTTGAGCATTGCCGAGGGCTTGCACGAACTCTTGAGGATGTAAAGGTGGTAGATCGGCAGGAGCTTCTTCAGGTACGGCCGAAAGAGGAACAGGTTCAACAGGTAGAGGCACTCCCGTCATCGGTCCACCCTGTGCTTCGGGTTCAGCCGAGGTGGTTGTAGATGAGGAGGTCGTTGGTATCTGTCGATCATGGTATGCCGCATCGATGACTTCCTGAATGGCATCTTGCCATACTTCACTCGCGACTTGTTCCAGGGAGCTGGCTGGTCTCAAATGCTCAATGGCGCACTTGGTCAGTTGTCCTCTGAAACTCACATATCCATTCACATTGCCCTCCAAGGCGACGAGGAGGGCAGGGCCATGCCATCGCTTGAGACTGAGGCGTTTCTTGGATGCAGCTGTTCGGTTGTTGAACCGAGTTTGTCTGAAGAAGTAGACGATATCTCCAGGAGATAGGCCATGTTCTGCAGTCGGTCCTCGAGAACGGGCTAGTTCAGCTCGTCGAAGGCCTTTGGAAAAATGAAGGCGTACCATCGCCAAGCGAGCAGTCTCTCGCATGGCAACTTGTCTGGCCAAACTTGGCCGAGAGTCGATGAGTCCATGCTCACTCAAGCGGCGACCAAAATCACCAAGGCAATCTCCGTGCATCCGGGGTTGCTTTCCAAAGGCAGCTTGCATAGGAGAGACACCAGCGTCGTTGATGTCCGAGTTGTAGGCGCTTACTGCCTCCTGGAGACAAAGTTCAACATCATCTTTTCCCAAGGCCGAATGAGCCTTGATGCACGAACGAAGAATGCCCTTAAGGATAGCTCCACCGCGCTCACATACACCATTCTGCCAAGGGGCTTGGACCGCGGTGTGGTGGAGGTAGATGCTCCATGAACTGCAGAACTCTTCAAACTCAGCAGACACGAACTCCTTGCCCTGATCTGCTATCAGGACTCTTGGTGCTCCCAGGATGGGAAGCCATTTGGTCTTAAAGAAGCGCTCCACCATGCTCGAACTTTTTGTTTCCAAAACTTCAGCAAACTGCAGCCTGGAGACATAGTCAATTGCATGGATCACATAGAAGCGCTTTTCGCCAATGTCTTCAATCTCAAAGAGGTCCACATGGACCTGGTCGCCCACATCCTTGGGTAGTGGCAAGGTAGCAGGCCGTCTGGCCTTTGGGATCTTCCGCTCGTCGCAAATTGAACATTTGAAGTGACGAGCGGCATGGATGATGTCCGGAGGGGCACCAGTGATCGCCAGTGCTCTGGCTAGGCGACGGCCAGATCGGTGGCCCGTGTTTTCATGTAGGCGTCGAAGAGCTTGCTTCACAGCAGCTGTCCAGTGACAGCTTCAGTGGACTCCTGATCAGAGTCACTCAGGTTCATGTCAATCGGCAGGGCGGTCTCATCTTCAGCCTCCTCACCGTCTTCGATGGCAAGGATGTTGTGTGGTCTTTTGAAGTCAGCTTCAAACTGCTTTTCCATGCCAACCACCAGGGCCTTTGCGAGGGCCCACGGATAGTGGCCAGCGGGCTCTGAAACAGCTTTTCCCCCAATGATGTGACCATGAGGGTGATTGCCAAGACACTTCATGCCGTCCAGTTGGGAAAGGACCTCATCACTCGAAGTGGCTATCCGCGTAGCTTTCCGAAGCAGGTCACCCGCCTGGTTCTTCAAGTTGAATCGGCATTGGTGGAAGACTACACAACGGGCCTCAAGTTGCTCCAAGGCTCTTTGCATTTCTTCCAGGGTCCATGCTCTAGAGGATTGAGGGTTCTCCAAAACAAAGTGACAACCACGACTCTTCTGGTCCTTGGCCAATTGGAGGGCGAACTGCAAGAGGGTGATTGCTTCCTCATACATCTTGGTGCCATTCTTCGGAGGGTTGAGGTTGAGTAACACACTCCAAAAGGAACAAGGAAATGCCAGCACCAAAAAGAAAGGACTTTCACGCTTCAGGACTGCTCTGGCAGCTTTGCGATCCAGTGGACGGAGAAAATTCCATCCTGATTCCAAGCTCATTGAGGCCCCCACTCGATGTCCTCGTTTGCGAGCCGTCTGCACAACTCGCTCCGTGTTTGTGTAGACCTCGGTGACAAAGGTCTTGGGGAAGCGGTCATTCTCAACAAGGTCGGGGTTCTTTGAAATCAACCTATTCTCAGACATGGCATGGGACTGAAAAGACTTCTCATCGCCAACGGTGAGGGTGGTGACAAGGATCTCGTTCTGGAAGTGGTCCATCGCTCGATGCCACTGCTCCTCATAGACTTCATTCACTTCCTTGGCACTGAGCGACACAAGGCGACGGTCTCTTTCATGACGCTCCCAAGCATCCGAAATCATTTTAGCCTGACCAGGTTTCACCGCCTGATGTATCCTCCAAGGATTCGTCTCCAGCTCGAGCATCGGTCTCACTGGTCGCGAGGAGGAATTCCATTGGCCTGGCGCCACTCCAAGTCGTCCTGGTAGTAGTCGCGGTTCATCTGTTGAATCTCGTCCTGGGTCCAGCCGAAGTCCATGGTTGCTTCGGTTTCCATCGGACCGGAAGTCATAGGTCCTGGCAGGTGCGATGCTTGGTGCAGGGTCGAAATGCTCTGGAGCACTTGGTTCAGCATCCCTTGGAACTTGTGGTCCTGCATGGTGAGGACTTCCTGTAGCTCTTGAGCGGTCACTCCAGGAGATGCCTTGACCTTCGCGCCAATTGTCTCGGGCGCTTGAGCAGGTCTCGCCATTGAAGTCTCGGGGACATGTCTTTCCGTTGAACTGGTAGATCCACTTGCCTTCGAGGGAGTTGGCTTTTGAGCAATCTCGGCAACCAAGGGGCGGCAAGCTTTCTTGAGGTCTTCCACAGTCATTCCAGTCTGGACGGGGATGTTCAGGAGTGAAGCCAGTTTCACCAGGTCTGCCTTCAACGTTGGCAGGCCTCCCTTTGGGCCGATGAGGGAGCGCACCATGTCGTGCTTCTCTCCACGCTTGGTAGCGGCCTCGGCTTCGAGTTGGGCTTCCTGAATGGCATCCCGCTTCAATTGGGCCGTCAGGCCTTTGCTGGCGCGTGCCGCAAGCATTCCTTGCAACATGTTGTCCTCCATGAAGGCGAAGTTGAGGCCAGCACGGTTCCTGAATTGTCCCAAGTCCAGGAGGTTCTTGGTCGTGTACACTGACGGTTCTTGGGTTCGAGCTCGCTGCCAGTGCTTGACCATCAATGCCTTTGGCTTCTGGAGGGTCATAGATTCGGCTTGTTCTTGCCAATGTCTGGTATGGCTGATGCTGGGGTACGGAAAGGGCGCGTACCGCAGCTGCGGACGAGGCAACAGCCACAAGAGCAAGCCATATGCGTGCCAAGCGGCCTTTGCGCGAAGGCGGAGAAGCATTCGCCGCCAGCGCAGCACCACCTTCGTGTAGTCGTTCTCGGTCAGGTCGAAGTGCTGGGCCGCTTCCATTACGATCCACAGATCCTGCGAGGGCTCGAAAGGTCGTCGAAGAGGATGTCGTCGGGGCTGAAGGACGTGTTTGAGCCACCTTCATAGCTTGAGCCCCGGCCGATGTCGCAGCAAGGATCGCATGCTCTGTCACAAGGTGCTCATGCGGTGCTTCGGAGGTTGACTCAAAAGGCACTTCAAAATGACTCATCTTCAATTGCAACTGTTTCTTCCAAAAATCAAAACTGTTCAACTGAAGTTCAACTATGCCGTCTTGTCCAAGTTTCCGCCAGCGTTGGGAGTCCGGACGAGGCCATTGGCGTGGCTGGAGTGGAAGGGCGAAGTGGCCTGCGGCCAGCTGACCCAACTCCAAAAGTTCGCCACCCACCAAGTCAGCTCTCAGTAGCTTGCGGCCGAACGAAAGGACCGCACCGATAGCGCTCAAAAAGTCTCTTCCCAAAAGGAGTCCCAACGATGGCACTGGCACTATTGACACCCACACCAAAACCAAAGTCGAACCCAGGGCCATAGGGAGTCTGTACCTCACGGTGCTTCTTTGGGTACCACCATTTCCAAACCTGAACAACTCATTCTCGGGGGTGGTGATGATGAGGTTCTGGATATAGGAAGGAGCACGTTCGAGGGCTTGGAGGTAGAAGGCCAACCATGAGGAACCTGCACATGTTCTATTGCAAGCACTATCCAAAGCTCCAACGAATCTTTTGTCTTGCGCGAGACGTGGAGTGTTCTTGGGGTCGGTATGGTGCTGCGTGAGGACTTCGAACAATGGGCGATCCCATGAATCGCCGGCGGCCACTGTCATGACCTCGTGGCCCATGTCATCAGGTTCTTCAGGAGCCACATGTTCAGTGTTCAGGGTCTCGGTGACACGGACCTGCTTCGTCATCTGGCTCTTAGGCTTTCCTTTGGGTCGAGCCAGGCCAGCACCAGGGGCCTTGCAGCCTGCATCACCAGCCCAGTGTCCCATCTCACCACAATCGAAGCACTTTGTAGTGCTCTTTTGGCGAGGGACTTGATTGCCATGGGGCTTCGTCGAACGAGGAGCCGGTTGGCCAGGCTTTCCATATCCACGGTCTTTCTTGACCTCAGCTATTTTGGTGCGTGCTTCACGCATTGTCAACAGACTCTCTGCGGCCTGTTCCATGCCGCTCTCCAAATCTTCAAGCACTCGAGGGTCGCAACCTTCAGTCTCGAGCTCCTGCAGCTCTTGGGCAAGAAGCTCAGCTTCGGTCTGGAGGACTTCTTCGATCGTCAGGTTCTCAGGAGGGTAACCCTGACCATCATCGTCTGGAATCAGCTCTTCATCTTCCACCTCCATCTGGCCTTCCTCTTCAGGGGCCTCGGCAATCAAGGCTTGTCGAGGTTGAGTCTGCTGGCCAAAACGCTTGAAAGGTGGCCGGCTGGAACCAGAGCTCTGAGTCCGGAAGGAGCGAGAAGAGGGAGCCGTCGAGCTGGCTGTAGTCGAAGGCCTGTAGGACGAAGAAGAGCTGTGTCTGTCATGGGACTGTAGGAAACGCTGGAGTAGTGGTGCCTTGTCAAAAGGTCTGCTCTTGTTCAAAGGGTCGGAGGAGTGCAAATCTCGAAACAGACGAAGGCATTCTGATTCGACCACATCATAGTTCTCCCGACCTGCCAATGCTGTCTCCAGCAACTGCTTCCTGATTGCATCCAGTCCCAAACGTTCTTTCAACATCCAGCCTAACTCCTCCTCCGGCATCACTATGCCTTCCCGCTTGAGCTCAGCTGCAAGGGTCCGGAATCTCGTGCAAAAGGCTGAGATTCTCTCTCCAGGGCTGCGTTTGATTTCTTGATAGTAAAGGGATCGGAGTTCTCCCTTTCTATCCAAAGCTGTCTTCCCAACCGTGGCCTCCAAGGCAGTCATGAGTTTCTTGATGCCTGCAAAAGGGTCTGCAGCAACCCGAATCACTTTGTCGCCGGTGTCAGGATCGGTCATGGCTTCTTCCTTGGTCCCTTCAAGATCCTGGGGATCGAACTCTTCACACCGAGCCCTGACCACACCATATTGTCTAAGTGCCCATCGGGCGGCAACGTTGAACTTCTTGCAGGATTCTTCATCCAGCGAAGCCATCCACCAGTTCATCTCCCGGCGGAACTGTCGCCATTCCGCCGGGTTGCCCGACCACGTCGGCACCCGGTACCAAGAGCTGGTGCCGGATTCTTCTGCTGAAGTCATCTTCACGGCCAAATTGGCCAAAAACAAAAGTGAGGCTGCTGCAAGGTGTTCAAGGAGCTCCGCAAGTTCTGAAGCTCTCCAAAGAAAAGGTGGTCTTAGACCGAAAGTGAAGTTGCGCAACGATGGTAGGGCCCAAAGCAAAAGGAGGGTCTATGTACCCCCAAAGGTCACTCCAACAAGGCACTGCTCGGCGGCAAGGGCACAGTGAAGTGGTTCAAGAAAAAGGTGTCCACAAACAAGAGAATCTAGTTATTCTCAAAAAGGTTGGCACCGACCACGAAGTCCAGAGCGTCTGGCTCGAGGTCGTGTAGAGCAGCCCAGAAGCTTAGCTTGAAGGCCACGAAGACGAGGAGAAACGAGGCAAAGCGAGGCGAAGCAAAGCAAGCAACGGCGGAGTGCAATGCCCAGATCGAGATAGGCTCCGGTGCCACTGTAGACGCACTAGCAAGAGCGTCTGCCAGCGCGCCGTTTTCACCTAAGGCGCAGCACGAAATGGCTTCAGGCCTTGATCCAAGCGAACATGAACAACCATGTTCCTCCGCCTGCCCAACACCGAAGAGCAAACTCAACTTTCACAATAACAAATCTCCCGGCGGATTCCTCCTAATGAATCTATGAACTAATGCAATGCATTTAACGTCCCCATACATTCTCACTTGTTCTGAAGAAATCAGGTCGAGAACCTTTACAAAAACAAAGGATTTTATCCGTCTGCAAAGTGGCACAGCATGTGTTAGATAGTCGGAAGATTGATGTCAAGAAACGCCAGGAAGGTGACGCTCCTCAAAGTATTCAACATGATTCAACCAAAGGAAGTGCACGAAACGCACAACGCCCCGCGCCCGCGTGGCAATGGAATGGAGACGTTCCACAAGGCAATCTGGTGCAAGCAATAGTTTCTGAGACCCCCCAAACAATCGGGTCATGTTTCATTCTCACCTGGATCCCTCATGAGGTCGGCGCTTGCCTCTAGTCGGCTCCTGGGAGCCCGGTTCCGACATGTTCCTGTTTTGATGAAAGGAATCCAGAACACCACCTGAAGGATACTCTCACTACAGGGTACAGCAGTTCCGTTTGGCATCCCTGTGCCCCAAGAGATAAATATCTGCAATCCTGCAATCCTGCGAAATGCGGAGGTTCTGTGCTTCTACACAAATGGAACCATTTGTAGTTCCGTTGATTCATGTGATTTTTGTGTAGGCCCATCGCCATTCTTCATCTTTTCAGGTGGTCTTTTCTTCAAAACCTCTCAGCTCGGTCCCCCCCTTCCGACCCTCGGAGAAACACCACCGTCGGAACTCCGAGCTGCTGCTGCCAGGAACTCGTAGCTTTGACCTGCCAGGCACGTCCGAAGAAGCACGAGCTCTTGGGAGGAGAAACTGTAGTTTCTCGACAAGATCCCTGGAGATCCACGAAACAGGAAACAGGATTCCAGACATAAAGCGCGTTTGGAAGAGCCGTGGAATCTTAACGCACACAACAGCATCTGCATAAGCTGGAAAATATATATGACACAAACACAACAACTCTTTAGCTTTAACTCTTTCTAGGTAGTCTAGGGTCTCCCCAGCATGTGGAAAACCAGGGAGTTTGTTTGGATGAGTCAAGGAAGGCAATTCGGATGAGTTAGGAAACCGATCGCTCCTGTCTCATATCTTTGGTATCTCAGACTCAGATCTCTCTTTGAATACACCCTACACCTCCTGTCCCATATCCTCAGGTCCGGTGCAGACCTGGCACCCACCCCAACTGTTTCACGGAGGGGACGGCGCGCTAGGTGTAGGGAAAAGCCTCCTCCATCTGCGGGTGGCCTTTTTGGACGTTCCTTTTTGGCCGTTGGAGAGTGACGATCAACCCAACGGCCTAGTCCGGCCTAGTGTCTTCCTGGTTCATTGGGAGCAGAACTACGTGTTGACAAAACCGCACCGGAAGTTGAACCAAAGTCTCCAACGTGCAAGAGCTGAACATGAAATCCCTTCGCGCAGCTCTTACAGGTCCACTTTTCAATTGCCACGCTCGGCGCACACCAACATACACCAACTATGTAACTGAACCCAAATCACGTCAAACAAGCCAAACAAGGATGCATATCCTTGTTTTGGTCAACAAATGGTAGGGCCTTCCGGAATCATGAACCATTGCGCCACTCAAAACCGCTGCGCAGCCATTTGCGCTGGCCTTTGATTTTCCACAAGGACACAGCGCAGCCCAGTTGGTGCGAGAGGACAGCACTGTGGTGCACATGTGAGCCATGCACCTCGGGACCACGATGCCAGTCTCAGGCCAAAGATGGCCCAAGACTGAGGCCATCATGAGAGGGTACAGCAGGTGGTAGCTTCCAATACCCAAACACCCCATGTATGGCATATTTACATACAAACAGGGGTGGTTGAAATGGTGTAAATGTAGGTATATCATCCAGTCCCATGGGTCGTGTCTGGGTTGCTTCATGGAGTGTCTTCACGGAGATGTTTGATCCGGATGGCGGCATTGATCTTTGCTTCAAAGATCATAGTACACTTGGGTTAATTGATCCGATGCATGATCACATGGTTTTACATCCACACCTTTTCATAGAAGGCTCATTCGGTCGTCTCATGAACACCCCCAAGGCTCTATGTGGCTAAGATGGTTAATGGATGTTCACGGTATACTGTAGATGCACGCAAACAAATCCTGCACCGCTTGGTTCTCGCAGATTGTCGATCTACAGCCTGTCTTGGGTGGTGCCAGATTTTGTCCGTCAAGAGTACACTCTCCTGAACCAAGTGACTGCAAAGGACCCCTCGTTTGGCGGTCTTCTGGAACAACATGAACATGGTCAAGAGTCTCAACACCACTCGGGGGAGCGTCCAATAATGGCCAATACTACTACACAATACTGACTAATTAATCATGCCCCTGACTTGTTGATAATATTGTTCTATCCAAATACCTGTCAACCTTTTATAAGCCCACTCCCGACAAGAAAGCTTCCACCTTTTGCTCCAACACGACTCATCGTCGAGGACATTCACCCAAACAGACTGCCCCGCTGCAGCGAATTCAAAGCACCAAGGTACATCATAGAGCCTCCCTTCTTTGCCACACATCAGCAAATGCCCAGCTTCAGTGGCATAAGCCACATGATTCAAGTGCTGTTGGGGAGCCCTGACGAGTCCGTGGTCGAAACGAGCGGACGGTAAGACGCCGGTGCTGACGCAACGGGCCTGCTGATCGCTTCTCTCGTGGGTGTGCGGGTGGGGATCCGCCCAGGTAACTGATTTAAAACAACGCGTCACATGGGTCACACAGGGGTCTGTCTCAAAGCATATAGAAGCGCACTTGCCATGTCTGTATAAAACTTTTCTGAACTTGCCAGAGCTATGGGAACAGCTCTCCAAGCTGGGTTTTGCATAGTTTCATGAGTCTCAAAGCAATACTCCCTCCATCTCCCTCCGTGCATACAAATGATTACAAATGAGCACGAGACTGTTACTCTTGGTGGTGCAGTCCATCCGGAGGCAAAAGTACCACAGGTACAGCAAATGCAGCTGGATCTAGCGCACTACTGAATCGATCCCAGGTCTGGCTTTGCTTCCTCTTGCAAAGCTTTGCATCCAACCTGCCACAGGTTCATAGTGAGCTGTGCCATGTAGGAACTCCTGTGCAAACCATACGTGGTTTCAGGTTGATTCTGCGAACCACCGCGAACCATCTATAGTGCAATCTCCTTCCTTGTTGGCATCTCTCAACCCTAATCCCGTAAGACACCCCGCGAAGATTTTCCTCAGGAGTATGATGGGTTCATTCCTTTAATCCTCACCGAGCATCTTCCCAAAGATCACGGCACCGTGCACCAGTTCATTGCTGGCTTCCCGGTACCTCCAAGCAAAAGAGGTTGGTCAAAATCCGTTTGACGGGAGACCGTCGTTGAGAAGGACAGGAGACCATCGCATGCAAGTCCCTATATTGAAGATAAAGAAAATACATGTCAAAGATGTTTCAATATGTTTATTAGACCATGAAATGTATAGCTAACCCAGCATTCTATATATATATATATCATACAGTTGCAAATGGTCCACATTTCAGTCAATGTACAAGTCCTCAGGTTTCATCGGTCAGTAAGTGCTCATGAAAGTCTTACCTCGGTCGACCTCGATCCTCCTATGGTGGAAACAGTCGGGTGTTAGAGGTCCATTGACACGTCCATTGAGCAAAACACCGTCAAATGCCCAAGACCCGCATCCAAAGTGGATTGAGCCCATCTTCATGAACATCTCAAGTAGCCAACAATTTACAATCAAAGAATCGAACAGAGTACAGTGTTTTCCAAATAGAGCCCCTTTGTTCCATGCCGATGTGCTCGGGTGAAATCTCGCAAGGTTGGGTGGCTGGTGCGGTCTAAATTTCTCACACAGGAGATCAAATATGATCAAATTAGCTGGGAAGCAGCGGGAAGCCTACGCTAGTAAGTAGTAATATCGACGATGGTTCATCTTCCAATGTCAAAGTTTCAAGCATGTCTTGTCAAGAGAAGT